GCAAGCAAAATCAATGGGAACCATGTGATTCACTTAATGACCACTTAAGTGCAAAAAATTTTGTAAAATCGGGTGCAGTCACGTGATGCCTTGCTTAACAACCACCCTGCTTAATGATTAATTTTCTGGTCCCTACTGTGGTTGTTAAGAGAGGACTACCTGTATACACCTCCACAGCATCAGCCAGCCATCACTGAAGTCCCACAGAGCTTCTGGGGAAAGGTTCCCCTGCTGCCAATTTAGAAGCCAGGGAGAGCCCTCTTTGGCAGACATGTCCTCAGAGAGGGGGGTCAAAAAAGTCAAGATGGCACCCCCAAAAGTGTGATTGAAGCCCCACCCTTTTTTTACCTGTGTCAAAAAGTCAAGATGTCAGCGGCAGCCACACAATTGAAGCCCACCTCTTTTTTTAAGTGGTCGCGGGCACCAACTTGACTCTTTTGAGCCCCCCGCAGAAATCCCTGTTCCCTTGCTTCTCGGATTGCCTCTCGGATCTTTCCCTCTGCAAACTAAGCTGTTCTTCCTTTCGGGTTGAGGCAAATCCTCTGTCCCCAATTGCCACGCGCTGACCCGGCGCTTACATTTTCTAACAGAGCAGGAGAAGGGTGATTCGCAGGTGAATCTTTTAGAAGGAGGAAGATTAGGCGGCTGCAACACGTTTGTGGGCCACCGAGGGAAGGGCCAGGGAAAGGAGGTATGTGAAACATGGGCACACCCCCACCCCCACCCTTGTCTTGGCACTGCTTGCCTTTGTTGACGCAGGGTGACTTTCTCCTTCCGTCTGGCAAGGTTGGCAGAGTCGATTCTCTTCCCCTTGGGCTCCGTGAGTCCCCCAACGCATTTCTTTCCGCATCATTTCTGCTTTGGCTCTTGTGGCTCCTGATCCCTTCCAGGGTTTACCCCTTCTACGTTAACACACCGGCCTGACTTTTTGACCTGGGTAAGGAACTAACTGAGCTAGTGTCTCTCAACCTTGACAACTTTAAGATGTCTGGACATTAAATGTCATGGACTGTTGGATGACAAGCAAATTCAAGGAGTCCTTGAGAAGAACAGACGGACTGCAAAAAGCTGAATGAACTCTGTGTGTGTGTGTGCATGTGTGTGTGTGCGCGCGCGTGCACATGTGTGTGTGTCTTGACTATGGAGAATGGAGGCACATAAGCACACCTGGAGAATTAAATATGTTCAGGAAGAGATGGTAAAGAACTGAAGCAAATGGAGAAATCATTCTTCACTGAGCTTAAAAATGCCAGCTTGGAAGTCCTGGCATTTGAAAGATTTTTTTTTAATGAGTTAGTAGCTGCCGAAAGAACAGGAAGCAGAGGAGGAATTCATGAACAGATCCTGCAATAGAGGAATATAAGCCGTGCTTCTTAAGCAGCAATGAAAATGGGAATCCATCCGTAAAGCCACGCGGGAGAAGATTCAGTGCAGTTGCTTTTCATGTAGCATACAATTAAACAACAAAAGTCACACCCACAAGTTGGTTGGTGCTGTACCAGGTCAAACGGAGTTGAAAAAGCACTGGGGGTGAGGGAAGATGGTGGCCCGCTGCCAGTCCTGAAACACTGAATTGGGGAAAAAAATGTGGATTGGAGAAATGGCTTTTAGTGAGGGACCTAGATGGTAGCTGAGCAAGGACTGAGCCTTTCTCTCAGGGGTGTCCACAAGGAGGGGGTCAAACATGTCAAGATGGGTGGCCACAACCGTGCAATCACAGTTCGCTCCTTTTGTCACATCTCTCGTGACTTCTGTTTTCCACAGCCAGATTTCTGGACATGGTTAGGCCAAGGTCCACCTCAGCCTAGACAGCCCAGATGTGGTGTCCCAACTCTTGCCAGTGTCTTTCAAGGGGAGATCTTTAACGACTTCGTTGGCTGAGGAGCCTCACTGCACCACAGGCTGGGTGGCAGGTCCTTAGATGGATATGCTGTTCTTTATTTCAGGAGGGTTGAGATAATTGTATGGCAGAAGCAGGTGCCGGTTCCTTTCCTCGATTTCCTTGGAGATGGTGGCCAGATGTTTTTGGAAAGCGGCAATAACCTTCTTTGGGCCTTCCTCTGTGAAATGTTCCTCAGAATAGTAACCCAGAGGTCTCTGGAAGAGATGAAAAAAACCCATGGTGAGGTCCCATCTTAGTAGATCTGGAGAACCATCTTTTGGAGGGAAAATGTCCTGGGGTTGCAGAACCATCAGCTCCAGGGAAATGTCCAGGGGTCATGAGAAGTGTCCCTTTTGGAGCAGATATCCTGGAGTTAGGGGCTCTATCAGCTCCAGGGAAATGCCTTGGAGCAAGGAGATTATCCCTGTGAGGGTGATCTCCTGGGATCTGAGGAATAATCCCTTGAAGGAAATCCAGAAAAGATGGGGAACGCGTCTTGATAAGACTAAAAGGTACATTTCCTCTTGGCACACAGAGCAAATTGCCAACTTTCTAACACGACAGAAGAGTTCTCCAATGCCAACCAATTTAATGAAAAACAAAGCAAGAAAAACTGCAGTCTTGCACCTCACTTTATATTTAAAGATTACATTTATATATCCTACCATTCTTCCAAAGAATTCTAACTGAGCTACGTGGTTCCCCTGTCTCCATTCTATCTTCACAACAATCCACGAGGTAACTTAGACTGAGAGGCTATGACTGAATTCAGACTTCAGTCTGTTCAACTGTGGTTTATTAACTAATCTCAAATTGCTTGGGCTTGTAAACCAAGCTACAATGCCTGGACTGACATGCCACATTAGACCAAACCAACAGGAACCACAAAAACATATTACAGCGTAACCTGATTTGTGAATCTTGGCTGTGGGATTATCTAGAAATCCCATGGCTAAATTACAGATTGGGATCAAGCTTTCCTTAATCCTTTCCCACAACTTACACCACTGTGGCTTAGTTTGGCTCTTAACAGAATATGGGAGAAATCCTTCTTACCTTGTCCCCTGGTTCTCTGCTGAGAAGCCATAAGATGAGCAATGTTTGGCAGCTCGTGCTGACATCTGGCAAGGTCTCCAGGATGTCCGCAAAAGTCACACTGCCTTTGGATTCTGGGGGAGGCTTTCGCATGGTGGAAGGGTAGTTGGGCATCCAGGCCCCAAAATCAAACTGGAGAAGAATGGAAGCTGGAGGTTAGAGCACCCCCAAACCCACAAGCTATTCCTTAGCTCCCACCTAGAAAGACAAAGTTGCTGAGAAGGTTTATCTGGGACACTTTCTACAGGTACCACCAAGGATCTCCCTCTTCCATAGCTCCTTCTGAAAAGGAGATTTTTTTCAGAGATTCAAAGGATATCAGGACATTTGCAGAGAGATGAAAGAGCAGGGGAGCCCCATTCCACTTCCTGGGACTCAACCACCCATTATTAACAAATGTTGTGCCCAATTTCTTCTCCTGTCCTCACCCTGGGAAATGATCTGTGGTTTTAACAGTTGCGCATCAGGTAGAGATACCACATTTCTCTATCTCCAAGCTTGAGTCATGTTTATTAAAATCATTTTTCATGTGTGGAGTGAGGTTTCCACCAATCTGATATTCAGATACCTTGGAGTTTACCTTCCAAAATATCTAGCTAGCATGGGAGGGCACTGAGTTGGGGAAAGGGGGCATATGCACAGTTCAACCCCCACTATCCTTCCATAGAGCTAAGAAACAAGAAAAGGAGGCCCCCCAAACCTGGCCATTGTTGACACTGGCATGGCGGACGGAGCAGGTGAAGACCACCATTGTCAGGTACCTGGTTAACTCCGCAATAGTTCCTAGATGTGCAGGGAAACCTGGAAGAACAAAAAATATTGGTGGGGTGGGATGGGCTAAAGTGTGGTGAAACTCCCCTCCGTTCACCTGGCCTGCTGTTCCCTCCCAGAATTGCACCAGGCAATTCTTGACTTTATACTTTTATCACCAAAAAGCAGTGGTGGAATTGAGAGAAAAGAGTTTTACCAGAGGATTGTCGCTGATAGAAACATTTCTCAAAGATTTCAGCCACCCAGGCCTGCAGCTCCATATCCTTTTCCACAGTGGTATCACTCGGATAATAAAGGCTGATAATCCCAGATACGAAGCTGCAAAGATGCAAAGCGTGGAGGGGAGGGGAACAGAAGTGGCATCAGTCCCAGTATATGTGTGATGGAATGGACTTATGAAGGCCAGGCTCAGGGAGATAAGCGTGTTCTTAGCCCCCAGCAGGAGCGTGGGAAGTT